TTTATTTATTTATCAGCACAAATAAAAAAAACACAAATATAACAAAGGCAACAGTAAAAATCTTGGGTTTCTGTCGTGATGGTCTATATATTCTATAAATATATATAGAACTGTGTATAAAAGTGTGTAAATATAGAAGCAAAATATTATATACATGTACAGGTATGATGACACAACAATGTTGATGTAATGACTGTAAGGTGTTGCAGAAGGGAAAAAATAATTTAAAAAAAACTTGCTAAAAGAAAAAAAGAAAGTGAAGTTTAATGGGTAGAAACTAACCACGTCTGAATGCAGGATTGGGGTTTGGCCAGTCGAGGGAAAAGAAGGACCAGGGGAGACATGATAGCAAGCCTTCCAATATTTGAGGGGTTGCCCCCAAAGAAGAGGGAGCCACTCTATTCTCCAAAGCTTCCAAAGTCAGGAGAAGAAGCAATGGGTGGAAACTAATCAAGGAGAGAAGCAACCTAGAACTGAGGAGAAATTTCCTGACTGTGAGGTCAATTAACCAGTGGAACAACCTGCCACCAGAAGTTGTGGGTGCTCCATTATCTGAAGGTTTTTAACAAGAGACTGGACAGTCAAATGGTTTTCGGTTTTAGGCACTTTGTGCCTAAAAGGTTTGCCGTCCCTGGTCTAGAATCTCCTGCTTGAGCAGGGGGGCTGGACTAGAAGACCTCCAAGGTCCCTTCCAGCTCTTATTCTGATTCTGTTTCTTGTTTTGTGCTGTTTTTCTCCACCCACAGCTCAGACCATTTTACAAGCCCAAGACCCTTCTGGCAAAAGATGTGTCCTCAACACCCAGCCAACCCTTGCTGGTTATGGTCCCGCCGACCAACTCCAAGCCAGCGGGGACCAGGGCCTCGAACCCTCTCTCCAAACCCCTCAAGTAAGTTGGCCGCTGGGGAAGAAAATCATAATATAGAAATATATGTTCAAAAGTAAGATACAGAGGTGGAAAACAATCATAAGGATAGAATTTGAGAAGGAAAAGGAATAAGAAATGATGTTCAATTATTTTTGGGATCTGCGGAAATGCCACCCCAAGAAAATAAGAATTAAGAGCTTGGAAGAGACAGCTACAACAATAGAAAAGAGAAAGGGAGAGAGGAGAGGAGGGGAAGAGGAGGGGAGGAAGATAGAGGGGAGGAGAGGAAGATGGAAGGGAGAAGGAGAGAAGGAGAGAGGCCAGGAAAGGGAAGAGGAGAAGAGAGACAAGGAGAGGGAAGGAAGAAAGAGGAAAGGGGAGGAAGGAAGGAAAGATAGAAAGAGAAGGAGAGAGGGCAGGAGGAGGAAGAGGAAGAGAGGAGTAGGGGAGAGGAAAGGGAAGAAGGAAGGAGAAAAGGAGAAAGGGCAGGAAGGGGAAGAGAGGAGGAGAGGAGGAGAGAGGAAAGGAGATGGAAGGAAGGAAGAGGAAAGGAGAGGAAAGAGGGAAGGGATAGAAAGAGAAGGAGAGAGGGTAGGAGGAGGAAGAGAGGATAGGGGAGAGGAAAGGGAAGAAGGAAGGGAAAGGAGAGAAGGAGAGAGGGTAGGAAGGGGAAGGGGAAGAGAAGAGGAGAGTAGAAGAGAGGAAAGGAGATGGAAGGGATAGAAAGAGAAGGAGAAAGGGCAGGAGGAGGAAGAGGAAGAGAGGAGTAGGGGAGAGGAAAGGGAAGAAGGAAGGAGAGAAGGAGAGAGGGCAGGAAGGGGAAGAGAGGAGGAGAGGAGAAGGGAGAAAAGGAGAGGGAAGGAAGAAAGAGGAAAGGGGAGGGAGGAAGGAAGGGATAGAAAGAGAAGGAGAAGAGGGTAGGAGGAGGAAGAGGAAGAGAGGATGGGAAAGGAGAGAGGAAGGAAGAAAGTAGAGGAGGAAGGGAGGGGAGAAAAGAAAGGGAAGAGAAAAGGCGAGGAATAGTAAACAAAGCAACCCAAATTGTGGCTTATAACCCTGTAAATGGAATGACAAATGTATAAGAACGACAAATGTAAAAAAGAATAATAATTATGGGAATGTAAACCTATCAGTGTGTATAGAGAACAAAAAATAAGAAACTTTTCCAGAGAGACGGAGCCTTCGGGGACGGAAATGGTTCGAGTCCCGGGGCAAAAAATCTGTCAATTTTACCTCACGGCCGCCGTTGATTTTCTCCATCCTCGACCTTCTGGGCCTTTCCTGCCCAACGATCGGTTGTCCTCGACATAACGACCGTAAAAGGAGCCTAGCCCCATTCTGTGGCCCTAAGCCGTAACGGTTGTAAAAGGTTGTTATGCGAATGGCCGCGGTTGTTGAGCGAATAACACGGTCGTTAAGCGAAACTGGCTTCAGAAGGTCGCGAAAGGGGATCACATGATAGATCCCCCCCTCCTCCAGGACACTGCGACCATTGTAATTAGGAATCCGTCGGCAAGCGCCTGGATTTTAATCCCGTCTTTTCAATGTTAAAACGGCCAATTTTTTTAGAGCTGTTGTAACTTTGAACGGTCACTATGTGAGTCGTCATAAGCCGAGGACCCCCACGGCAAACAATTTTGTCATCTCAGCTACTAACACTCCTCTCTTTCTCTCTCTTTCAGACCGGTCGCACCTCAAAGGTGAGTGTGACGTAGCCCCTGGGACTCACCTGGGGAAACCCCACTTCCTCCCCACCTCCGTTGACCTGTGTTCTGCTGGTCAGAACTATAACTTGCCGTCTCCTGGTGATAGGCCCAAAGTCACCCAGCTGGTTTTTATTTAAGGCAGGACTAGAACTCCCTGTCTCCTGGCGATTGGCCCATAAGTCACCTAGATGGCTTTTATCTCTCAGGCAAAACTAGAACTCCCCATCTCCGGGTATCCGAAATGCCTCAGCTGGTTTTCACACCTCAGGCAAGACTGGAACTCCCCATCTCCTAGTGATAGGCGCAAAGTTACCCAACTGATTTTTATTTAAGGCAGGACTAGAACTCACTGTCTCCTGGCGATTGGCCCATAGTCACCTAGATGGCTTTTATGTCTCAGGCAAAACTAGAACTCCCTATCTCCTGGTATCCAAAATGCCAGCTGATTTTCACGCCTCAGGCAAGACTGGAACTCCCCATCTCCTAGTGATAGGCCCAAAGTCACCCAGCTGGTTTTTATTTAAGGCAGGACTAGAACTCCTGTCTCCTGGCGATTGGCCCAATGTCACCTAGATGACTTTTATGTCTCAGGCAAAACTAGAACTCCCCATCTCCTAGTGATAGGCCCAAAGTCACCCAGCTGGTTTTTATTTAAGGCAGGACTAGAACTCCCTGTCTCCTGGCAAAAGGCCCAAAGTCATACAAAGGTAACTATGGCAATCTCTCAGGTCTCGGCTGGCTTTCGTGTCTTAGGCAAAACTAGAACTCACCATCTCCTGGGGTCCAAAGTGTCTCAGCTGGCTTCCCTGCCTTAGGCAGAACTACAACTCACTATCTCCTGGTGATAGGGCCAAAGTCACTCAATTGGCTTTTGTGCCTAAGGCAGGACTAGAAATCACACTCTCCTAGTTTCTAATCTTGTTGCCTTAACCACTGGCCCAAACTGGTGTCGTGGCCCGCCAACAGAGCCGGCAGCAGATTCAGAGAGTGAGGAGGGTTGGGGAGGAACCTGGGCCAGTCCTGGAGTCTGGGGAAGGCTC